CCGCCAGAGCCCCAAGTGCATCATCTCGCTAGAGGTCATGTCCAGCTCAATGGAGATCTGTGTGATTAAGGTGGAGATCAAGGACCTGAACGACAATGCTCCCAGTTTCCCGGCCGCACAGATTGAACTGGAGATCTCTGAGGCAGCCAGTCCCGGTACGCGCATCCCACTGGACAGCGCTTATGATCCGGACTCGGGCAGCTTTGGCGTGCAGACCTACGAGCTCACACCCAACGAGCTGTTTGGCCTGGAGATTAAGACGCGGGGTGACGGATCACGCTTTGCTGAACTCGTGGTGGAGAAGAGCCTGGACCGAGAGACACAGTCACACTACAACTTTCGAATCACGGCACTCGACGGAGGTGACCCACCACACTTGGGCACAGTTGGCCTCAGCATCAAGGTGACTGACTCGAATGACAACAACCCGGTGTTTGGAGAGTCCACCTACTCAGTGAGCGTGCCTGAGAATTCGCCTCCCAATACACCCGTCATCCGCCTGAATGCCAGCGATCCAGATGAGGGCACCAACGGCCAGGTGGTCTACTCATTCTACGGCTATGTCAATGACCACACACGTGAACTCTTCCAAATTGACCCACACAGCGGCCTAGTCACTGTCACCGGTGCGCTAGACTATGAAGAGGGCCACGTGTACGAACTGGATGTGCAAGCCAAGGACCTGGGTCCTAACTCTATTCCTGCACATTGCAAAGTCACTGTCAGCGTCCTAGACACTAACGACAACCCGCCAATTATCAACCTACTATCTGTCAATAGCGAGCTTGTGGAGGTGAGCGAGAGCGCCCCCCCGGGCTATGTGATTGCCCTGGTTCGGGTGTCTGATCGAGACTCAGGTCTCAACGGACGTGTGCAGTGCCGCTTGCTGGGCAATGTCCCTTTTCGGCTGCAGGAGTATGAGAGCTTCTCCACTATCCTTGTTGATGGACGGCTGGATCGCGAACAGCATGACCAGTACAATCTGACGATTCAGGCTCGAGACAGCGGTGTGCCAATGCTGCAAAGTGCCAAGTCCTTTACTGTGCGCATCACTGATGAGAATGACAACCACCCACACTTCTCCAAGCCTTACTACCAAGTCATTGTACAGGAGAACAACACTCCTGGCGCCTATCTGCTCTCTGTCTCTGCCCGCGACCCCGACTTGGGTCTCAATGGCAGTGTCTCCTACCAAATTGTGCCATCACAGGTGCGAGACATGCCTGTCTTCACCTATGTCTCCATCAATCCCAACTCTGGTGATATCTATGCGCTACGATCCTTCAACCATGAACAGACCAAGGCATTCGAGTTCAAGGTGCTGGCCAAGGATGGCGGCTTGCCCTCCTTGCAAAGCAACGCCACAGTGAGGGTCATCATCCTCGATGTCAATGACAATACCCCAGTCATCACCGCCCCACCCCTGATCAATGGCACTGCTGAGGTCTATATTCCTCGAAACTCCGGCATAGGCTACTTGGTGACTGTAGTTAAGGCAGATGATTATGATGAGGGTGAAAATGGCCGAGTCACCTATGACATGACAGAAGGTGACCGAGGTTTCTTCGAAATAGACCATGTCAACGGAGAAGTCAGAACCACTCGCACCTTTAATGAGAACTCCAAGGCTTCCTATGAGCTGATAGTGGTGGCCCATGACCATGGCAAGACGTCTCTTTCCGCCTCTGCCCTTGTCCTAATCTACCTGTCCCCGGCTCTTGATGCCCAAGAGTCAATGGGCTCAGTGAACTTATCCCTGATTTTCATTATTGCCCTGGGCTCCATTGCTGGCATCCTCTTTGTCACTATGATATTCGTGGCAATCAAGTGCAAGCGTGACAACAAAGAGATCCGGACCTACAACTGTAAGTAGAGCCACCTTTTCTTTCTT